CGCCGCGCGACGGCCCCTCCGTACCGTACCGGTACACGAATCCTACTCGCAACGGAAAAGACACCCAGCGCAGCCAAATTGCTGGTCGTGGGGAGCTGATCGCGAGGCCGTGACAGACAGGCCAACTGACTGGCCACGTTGGTGCACGCCCTCGAAGTGATGTATAATTTCTCACATCGTTTTTCACGGCGTGAAATTCGGCCTTTCTTCATACGCCAGATGGCTGAGCGCATTGCTTTCGCGGCCATCTCAGCTCTCCAGTGTTGGCCGCCACCTCGCTCGCATTTCAGCCGTGGCAAGCTCCAGCGTTTCCCACAAAGAGATCGCCAAGGGACACTACGAAGTTTGCCTTGCACCTGGAGAGGGCGGCAAGCAGCTGAGCACTTGCTTGCCGAATTCCAAAGGGTTGGTCGGCGGCACTGGTCAGCTGAATACATGGGCGGCTTTGTATGCAGTGCCTCTACACTGTACGCGTGACAGCGACTCGGATTTAAAATCTTGGTAGGACGCCTTGAAGTATCCATCGCAAGTACGCTCAGCTCTGTTCTCAGTCGCGACCACCGCACGTGCTATTCCGTGTACCCGCATCCACGCCCGCCTCCCTACAAACGCCGGGCCATCGCAGCGAGGTGGACGTTAGAGGACAAGCTTGAGTGGTAGTGGCAAATAAATTCAATGGACCGGTTTTTGCAGCGGCGAAGTTCGCACATAAAAGACGCTCGCTTGGGCGCCAGCTGGTGGGGACGAAGTTCGAAGCCGCGGGAGTGCATACAAAGTGCAAGTGTGGGGTCGACAACGTTGAGGCGCACCCGTGAGTCACGGGCCCGTCCACCGCGCGATTGGCCGTGGGTTCAATACAATGCGCGCCCAGTCAGTTCGGGGGCGCCAACCACACCGCCTCAAATCGCGACTCACCCCTCGTTACGAAGTCGATACAGCAGCATGAGCACCATCCCGGACGAAGCCGAACTCATCGCGGCCGTGCAGCAAGTGCTCGCGGAGAACCCCGAGTTTGGCGCCAAGCGCATCGCGGCGACCGTCAAGGAAGCCAACGACTGGCAGGTGGGCGAAAAGCGGGGTACGACTTTGGTGTATATTTGAGTGGATGTGAAAAAGACCGGCGCAGCTGACGAGTGATATCCTCCCGTAGTCGCCAAGCTCCTCAAGAAGCATTCTGTGATTTCCCCGCCGTCGCCTAAAATGGACACCAACCAGGAAGACGAAGTCGTCGTGCAAGTCGACGCCAAGAT